ATAAAATGTTTTTAATTGTGTACCAGTTTAACGTTGAATATTATTTATGATTTTATCTTCATTGGACTTTGATACGAAATTCCAGTTAAACGGTTATAGCTAATGTTGGACTATATTTTATATTATATTTAAGATGGTGGAGATTTCGGGAAATTTATCGCTGACTAGAATCATGATTTAGCCGTAACCTATTTTATAAAGTTAACGTACAAGATCAAATGATATATGCAACATCCGGTTCGACATGAGAAGGACTTATAGAAAAAAAAAAGTGTCTAAAGGATTTTATATCGGCTTTTTGGGTTTACATATAAATACTGAACACCAACTAATGTAGTAAGAATGGGGCACAACGTTATTTCTGGAATGAATTCCCACCTTAGAGTAAATTGTGGGAAAAAAACCAACAACAATAAATTCCACAAAACGTGCACAATGAATATCCTAAACTTTAGAGACGTAATGATAGCAACTATACTGGGGATTCCCTCATGGGCTAGGTATGAAATATTTCATGTTCCTCCCACTAGGATCGCGTTGCGTACCCGACAAGGTCGAGCCATGGGGGAAAAAAGAACTATTAAACCACTATAAAATAAGACTGGTTTAGTCAAAACGCACTTAACATATAGAAGGAAGTATTAATTCAACATTTTTTCACACAAGTATAACGGTTATAGATTATAAGTGCATAGTTTAGTGAAATAAACTTTTTATAGTAAGAAATCTTATGAAACGTAAACGAGGAAAACAAAAGACTTAGTTTATCGTTCTGTCGGTTTTCGTTTAGCCAGGGTCATCTAAAACTATTAAACACATTACGACAGAAGACAACACAAAATGTTAGTCCCCCCCCCCACTGGTGGCTCAGTGTTAAGCTTAAAACTTTATAACACTAACATTTGATATTCGATTTCATATTGGGCACAACAAATTTGGCCCATTATGTAGATTTGTGCTTTAACAACTAACGTACATACGTTAGAACCATTTATAGTCTAAGTGGTTAAATGAGAGGGCCCAGCTGAAGGAATCACTAAGGAGATATTCCCATCCCCCCAGCTAGCATACGATTATACGCGAAAACTTGTTTACTATCCGCGATTAGGTGGAGTGATGGGTGTGGCAAACCTTTTACCTTGTCACACAAGGTCGTACGACACTGGTTGTTGTCAAACGTGATTATGACCTTTCTCTTCTGATATACGGTGTATACTTAATAAAATGTTGTACGGGATAGCTGATTTTTAATTTTTTTCTAAGACGAATAACCCGTGGGTTAGCACAAGATTTATACTCTAACCACTGTAGAGACGAAACTAGATGGTATGGGACGTTACTTTGAAGGCACTCAAATAATAATAAAAACTACAGTATTGTAAAACTTGGAAATATAAACATGTGGCTAAAATCACTGTATGGAGGAAAACTGTGGTCGATGTTTATTTAAGAAGTGATGCGATCATGGGTACAGGGTCAGGGCGTGTGGTAGTTATTTTACACTTCCGTGGATGGTTATTTATTAATACGTATTGAATTCACTACAACAATTAACACACTGTACACGAATGGTTTTAACACGTCACCAAGCACGTGCGCGTTTTATTTTTGTGGCCAATAGAGGAGCTGGTGTAATTTTGTTAAGCTTCAGCTCTGCTTCGAGAGTTGGTAACAGTTTGCTTGTTTGTTATCGATTTTGCGCAAAGCTACACGAGGGCTATCTGCGCTAGTCGTCCCTAAT